AAAAAAAAAAAAAAGTGCATATAAAATTTGGGAAATCAAATTGAATATGATTAATTGCCTTGTATATCTTGGTCGAGATTCTTGTTCAACATGACAGCCGAAAACAAAATATATATAAGAAGAAAAAAAATTAGCTATATTATAAATAAATTCACATACAAATTCAAAACTTTCCAAATTTAATTCAATACCTCAAACTGGATTTGGATTTATTTCCAAACAGAGAAATATGAGAAATATCTCACTTATCTGAATATATATGAACTACACCTAATTATCCAAATATGATCCAAGTTAAAAATATAGCAATTTCCTTATTCTAAACACCCAATTCCAACACTATATATTTATATAAATCAGCTAGCTCTGTAAAAACATAAAATACAGAACACATACAAGAGCAAAAAAAAGAAAGCAAAACAAGAAAAAGAAAAACACACGAACACACACTCAATGGTGCAAGTATTCAAGAGTGATTCTCAGGCATACGGCCAACTAATCAGAGTACTCTCGATCGATGGCGGTGGAGTTCGAGGCATAATCCCGGGCGTAATCCTCGGTTTTCTCGAATCCGAGCTTCAGAAGCTCGACGGGCCCCATGCTAGGATTGCCGACTATTTCGACGTGGTTGCCGGAACGAGCACTGGAGGGCTCGTCACCGCCATGCTCACGGCTCCTGACCGAGAAAACAGGCCATTGTTCACGGCAAAAGAAGTCAAGGATTTCTATCTTCAACATTGCCCCAAGATTTTCCCCCAAAGGAGGTAAAATTATAAACTTATAGTTAGTTTCAAGTTACAACTCTGCATGAATGTGTGTTTTGTGAATTTTCTTTTTTTTTTTCTTTTTTTTTGGGAGTTTGAAGAAGTTTTTTTCGGTTGCTTTGATTTCGATAAAAGGGGTAATATCGTGAGCCGATGCGTGAAATCGCTTTGGGGACCAAAGTACGACGGGAAGTATTTGCACGCGCTTCTTAAGGAGAAGCTTGGGGACACGAGACTTAACGAGGCTCTCACGAATGTCGTGATTCCAACTTTCGATATAAATAAGCTGCAGCCCACGATTTTCTCGACTTATGAGGTGTGTTTTCGTAGGAAAAAAGCTTTCGTTTTTTCTTTTTCTTTTTTTTTTTTTGGTATTGTTATCTTCCCCTTATGTGTTCTGTTTTAGTTTGGAATCTTGGTACTGTGCATGTGTTCATGTTTTTTTTTTTTCTTTTTTGGGATAAATTAGGGGAAAAACCGGTCGAGTTTGAATGCGCCACTCTCAGATATATGCATAGGGACTTCGGCTGCTCCGACTTATCTGCCCGCGCATTACTTTGAAACCGAGGGCTCGTTAGGGAAAACGAGGCAGTTCAACCTCATTGATGGCGGTGTTTTCGCTAATAACCCGGTATGAATAAAGTGTAGTATAAAACAGAAGCCAAGTCACCTCATCAAATCGAAGAAAAAACATACTCTAAAACATTTATTTATTTATTTACTTATTTGTGTGTGTTTGTTCATCTTAGACTTTGTGTGCAATAGAGCAAATCATAAAGAACGAGATGAAAACACAGCAAAACAGCAGCCTCTTTGCAAACGAGCATGGCCGTTTCTTGGTTCTCTCACTCGGGACAGGCTCGCCTAAGCGTAAGGAGAAATACTATGAGGCGAAGAAAGCAAGAAAGTGGGGCCCGCTCGGGTGGTTGTTCAGCTGCGGCTCGACTCCTCTACTCGACGTGCTTACTCAGGACTTGACCGATTATCACAATCCTGTTGTGCTTCAGACACTACATTCTCAAGAAAACTACCTCAGAGTTCATGTAATTAATGTGTTGCAGATTATTACATTTTTTGTTTGTTTGTTTGTTTTTTGTGCAAGTTTCTTATTTTTTTTTTCTTAAACAAGTATAAGTTTTTTCATGCAGGACGATACGTTGACTGGAGTAGCGTCTTCGTTAGACGTGGCAAGTGAGAAGAATTTGAGTCGACTCGTGAAAGTCGGGGAAAGTTTGCTAAAAAAACCGGTCTCGAGAGTTGATTTGGAGACAGGAGTTCTTGTGCCCGCTGGTCAGGGAACAAATGAGGAGGCATTGATTAGGTAGGTACAAAAACAAATATACAATACATATTTAGGTAAATTGTAGTATGATTTATAGTAACTAATTTCAATTCAATATGTATATGGGGTTGATTGATTGATGGTTCTTTTCTACTGTCTATTCCAACAGGTTAGCAGGCATACTTTCGAAGGAGAAACGGATTCGAGATGCGAAATCGAGCGATGTTCGTGGTGACACCGGATGAGGAGATGAAATTTTTGTAAATATGCAGTTTTTATTTAGAGATTTGTTGAATTTGTTACGTTTGTATCTTTTTTTGTTTGTTCATGTTGTTGAGCCTCATGGCATTGGGCTTCATTCATTTGTCTAGCATTTTGGTCTTGGTGTAAATATCCCTGCACATTATTTTTTTTTTAATGTATATATGAATTCAATTTAATTTCAACTTTCATGAATGATAATTCGTTGTTATTCTATATTATTTTTGCAATTTAATGTTTTTGTATATGCGTGAACTACGACCCTATGCTCTGAACCCAGCATTAGAACTGTAATGTTATAGGAAAAATGCTACGGTCCCGTTACGGAGTCATTCCGTCGAGATTTATAATTGTTGGATCATCATGTAAATCGGGGATAATTGATCTAACGGTTACAAATCTTGACGGAATGGTTCTGTAACGGGACTGTACCATCTTCATGTTACAGTGTTGCAATGTTCAGTTTTTGCAGTTCTCTGTTTTCACATCATTTTTCTTGAAATCAAAAATGCGCATTGATTTCTTGCATGGACTGTAACAAAGTAATTTAGAGTGAAATTATCTCACCTGTGGTCCAATATCTATATTATTTACTTTAAGACTGATAATCAATTCAAAATCAAGAAAAGATAAAAAAAACAAAGAAAGTTGGTGTGTTGTGTACACAGATTAATGATGCCCCAAGTTTGTGTGTAGCATGAGTTGAAGTTCCTACTTGTTTGGAATTACATAGTATGTAAAATACAAAACCAAAAAAAAAAAAAAAAGAGTGATCAACATTGTCTCATACTTGCCTATGTACAAAGCGGTTTTGATGCGAAGTCATCTATAATTTTTCACAAATAGTGTATTGACACGTATTCTCCAATAAATGCACCTTGAACACGTGTCTTCATAAAAGAGTCCTCCATAGATTTTCTGATCTATAAAGATGTTTTTTTATTTAGTTTTCTTTTTCCCTTGCAAATGACCAAATCCAGTAAGGAGATGTGTGAAAATCTTGGCATTTTGGGCTCTTGAAGAAAAAATATAATAATGTCTTCCCTATGCAAATATGTGCAAAATTTTATATACATATGCATTGAATTAGTGTGTCATTGGGGATGGTGGGTGGCAGTGGCATGAAAAGGCAAACTTGTTTTTTTATTTATTATTTACTATTATTTTGTGTGTGTGTGTGTGTGTGTGTGGATGTGGGGGTGTGTGGGGATCTTTTATATTTATTGAGTGGGATAGTAAGTAAAGAGAGAAATCAACTTGTGGATGTGGTTGTGGGGATGTATCATTTACTCTGCTTATTATTATTATCTGTCTCTCTATTCCCTCAAACCCTCTCATCATCATGAATTGAATGTCTGATATTTGATTCAAACTCTCCTCTTTCTCTCCATAATCTAAATAAATTAAAAAAAAAAAAACCTGTTCTTTTGTAGCTTAGTAGAAATCTTGAAAAATTTGAGGAAAATTAAAAAATGATGCAGGAAACTGATGAGCCCAAATCTTCAGGACTAGAAGAAACTCATGCATCCAAGAAAAGGTAAAGTCAGTTAAAGATTAGAGTTTTACTCTCTCTCTCTCTCTCTCTCTCTCTCTCTCTCTCTCTCTCTCTCTCTCTCTCTCTCTCTAGCAAGGAGAAAGATTTTTGAGTGTTGTAGATTGTACAGGAAGATGGGTGAAAGGGTTGTGGTGACTGTGAAAATAGAAGAAAGTGAAAAAAGGCAGCAGAAAAGTGAAGGGCCTCCTTCTGATTGTTGGTCTTGGAGAAAATATGGCCAAAAACCTATCAAAGGATCTCCTTATCCAAGGTTTTGTATTTTTTCTTTTTTTTTTTTGCATTTTTATTTCACATTTTTCTCACACAATGGGGTTCTCTTACAATTACCCAGAACTTTTGGGTAGTTTTCGTTAATAACCAAAAAAAAAAAAAGTATGTCGAATGTCGAGGTGAATAATGGATTTATGTTCAATGCATGCAGGGGCTATTACAGATGCAGCACATCGAAAGGCTGCTCGGCCAAGAAACAAGTCGAACGGAGCAAAACCGACTCCTCCAAGCTCATAATCACCTACACGTCAAGCCACAATCATCCGGGCCCAGCTCCTTTGCCACCGGAAAACCCGAAAACCGATCCCGAGGAGATTATTATTGTCAATTCAGCCCCTCAACTCACCCATACTCACACGGTTGCCCCTGAACAGGAACAAGAAACACAATCGAGCCCTCCGGATCATGTATTTGTGGATCAAGACGAGAAAAGTTCCTTTAACGACAATCTTCAAAGACTTGGCGTGCTTTACAAAGGAGGAGACTCGAAGCCGATTACTCAGCTCGTGAAATCGGAGGAAAATGATTTCTTTGACGAGCTAGAGGAGCTCCCAACATCATCGTTTTTCACGTCGTTGATGAAAAACACAGTTTGTGAGGAGAGAGTTATTGTGAATCCCACCTGAGTGATGAGTCATTTAGATGGTAGTTTCTTGCATTTGTAAATTGTGATCGTCTATGTGTAGTGTGAATACTACTAACTCAGGTTCAGTCATTTCATCTTTTTGACAAAGTACAAAATGAATGGGTTATCTATATAATTTTGAAACACATCAAGGGTTCTTGGATAAATTTATGAGGAAGTTATCCGAATGTAGTATAATGCAATTACAGTCACGGTTCTTGCGTTTGATTCACGTGAAAAGAAACCTCTCTAATATGAAGCAGATAAGGCCATGAGTAGCTAGGAACTTTTTATTTATTTTTATTTTTTTTCTTTTCCCATTACCAAAGTTACTCTAACAACGCGAGAGAATCGCAAGACAGCGTCGTGCCCAAAGTGAAAAAAATTTATCAAACACTTTCATCATCTCACACAGCTGAATGTTAGAAATTCTCAATCAACAGGCTACATAAATTTAAATTTGCTACATAAAGTTCTTCAATAAACTCAAATGTTTGTAAGAAACAGTTGGGAACAACTCAAAACAACCACAATTGAGACTGCAAACTGATCACACCTTAGAAATTCAAATCAAGTGCCACTCAAAAGTTCATTAAGCTTCTGCAAGTGGTTGTAGGGCTTTAAGAGGGTTTGAGATGACAGCATCTATGAGCCCATACTCTTTGGCTTCTGTAGCACTCATGAAGAAATCGAATTGAGTGTCTTTGTTGATTCTCTCTAGGCTTTGCCCGGTCTGGTAGGCTAAATAACTTGCTAAAACCGATTTGTGATGCAACATTTCATTTGCCTGTGAAGAAGAAGACAATTAGTATAGCCAACAAGAAGAGCCCGTTTCTTCTTCCCAACTTCAAATTGTCATGTTGCTAACTGCTACCAATAAAATACATCACATTACGAGAGAGAGAGAGAGAGAGAGAGAGATTTGAATCCAAACCCCAAAGATTGCACTTAGAATATACATACTATATGAAAAATATTGATCTGCAGTGCCTAAGTAATTTGAAACAAGACTAGTATTCCATCATGTGCATTTGCACAATTGTAAATAAAGTATTATAAATTATTTATAAGCATATAATATTAAAATTAATAAGTTAATTAATAATATTATATTTTAAACATAGAGTAATATAAGTGCATATAATATTTAAATTATAAGTTATAAATGACATTATGTTTTAAAATTTGATCATTGGTTAAAATATATAGTACATAAATATTCGATTGCATAAAATGTAATCCATAATGTAATTTTTGTAATTTTAGGAATCATGATCAATTAATTAGCTCAAAAGAATTATATTTATTATAATAATTGCTTATGCGATGTTAAGGGATTTTACTATGACTTTAAAACAAATTAATTTATATAAAAAAAAAAATGTTTATCAGATAAAAAAAACATAATATTGATTTTAGAATACTTAACTTGAACAAAAAGTTCCACAATATAATTTAATATATTTATGTTTCATATATCATTTAGTATAAATATAATTATTAATTTTAATAATGACTATTATCCGATACAATAAAAATATAGTTATTATTCAGTTAATATAAAATGTAACGTTTTTGTCTTAATTAACCCAAGAAAAAGGTGCAAGAAAGAAAATATTGAATCATTAATGGTATATGGTGGATTAATAATAATAGTAATAATAATAATAATAATAATAATAATAATAATAATAATAATAATAATATTAGATTGTAACGGAAAAGGGCTAGAAACAACAAATAGTTTTATTAAATTTTTCGTTAGTAATTATTTATATATATATATATATATATATATATATAGAGAGAGAGAGAGAGAGAGAGAGAGAGAGAGAGAGAGAGAAAGAGAAATTTAATTGTAACGGTTTTTGGCGGGAAAACTATATAGGTTATATTAAATAGGTTTTAAAAAATGATCTGCCAACAATTATATATATTATATATATTATTGTGGCCCTTTTAAGAAGATATAATTTACCTGAATTTCTACGTCCGAATGCCGACCTTGTACTTGACCTAAAGGCTGATGGATCATTATTCTTGTATTTGGTAGGCTGTATCTTTTACCTTGAATGACCAACAACATGTAAAATATATTACATTATTACAGATTGCAGAAAAAATAAATACCGCATCATTGCAATATCAAACTTACTAATGGATTCAATCTTATACCTTTAGTACCAGCACCAAGAATAAAAGCTCCCATGCTGCACCATCAATAAGGACGATAAAGTAAGTTTGCATCACAAGGTAATTTTCATACCCTGAAAGTCGTTTTATGCAGCAAAATGCAGGAGCTGAATCACACTATTAATGAACATTTAACAATAGTAGGAAATATTATGCATTTGCAGAACATAGCAGAGATTTTATTAGGTATTATGTCAAAATGTTGAGATGAAGATGAGATATTAATTATGTTAGTGATGTCTAAGGACAAGGTAAGAATAATCTCAAATATATAGTAGATTACTGCTTGAAAAGGCTTAATCAAAAAATTCAATAAGAACTTAAAGCTGCAGAAATTTAATTTTAACGCTACTACATAATAATTTGTTAAGAACTGCATTGTTCACTGAAAAATCCGAGAAATTTGAGTTCTGTTTCATACCAAAGACAAACTAGAGTCTAGAAATACAAAAGCCAGGGTAAACTTATCTCACCTAGCTGCAAGTCCGACACATACAGTTGAGACATCTGCCCTAATATGCTTCATTGTGTCAAATATTGCCATACCTTAAAAAGTAAGAAAACATAAGATATCTGAAAAATAGGCAAACTGAAAATAATGTAATAGAAGATGTATATTACCAGCAGTAACCGATCCACCTGGAGAGTTCACATACATGACTATATCCTGATCAATTACACAACAGATTGATCAGTCAAGTGTTCACCTGCATAATGATCTATATTCCATTTCATCAGATAATAGAATATAAAATTTATGCTACTACACTGTAACTAAAACTTCCATCTTTCACTCCTTCATGCCGACCAATCAAAAGATTTGTTAAACAAAGCGCAAGATCACACAAAAAAAGCTACAAGATGAAAATATAAACAAATGCCTGAAAATTATGTGAGGACTAATCTTGAGGAGGTAAGTAATATATATAAAACATAGACAACATTAATAAAGACGATAGAGCTTCGAGTTAACTCGATTCCAGTGGTTTGAACTTTAAACAGAAATAGTATATGTTCTCCATGGCAGACTGTGAAGAGCAAGAACTGAGAAAAATGCAACCATGAAACCATACCCTTAAATCGGTAAAATACGAACTAAACTGAATAATTTCAACAAGAAACATTTGAAAGAAAACAAGAATGTGAATTGAGATACACCTTAGTGGGATCCACAGCATCCAGATAGAGCAACTGAGCTACAATTATGTTTGCCATGTCATCCTCCACAGGTCCACCGCATCGTATTATCCTCTACAAAGTTGTGAACTTTAGAATCAGTGTACAGAAAGGAACTCATGCATGTCAGTTCAATCAAACATAGTCTCGCATTATTGAAAACCAGAAATTGTCTCACATATTGAAGAAGTTGGCCAACGGCACTCATAAATTGCTCGTGCACCATTGGGGCCAGTGACCCTTGCGCGTTAACTGGAAAGTATGGCGATGAAGGTATTTGCAAATCGTCCCTTAACAACAAAAATCAGCTATCAACATTCAATTTAGAAACTGTCTTGAGTTTCTGAAAGTTGTATGACTAATTTAAGACACCCCGACTAACCTAAACGCCGATTAGGGTTTTCGGATACTATCAGTTACGTTAGCGAGAAACCAAAATTGATGCGTGAAAAATCAAAAAACGACTTTCAATCTGCTAAAACTGGAGCGAGCACTGGAGAGTAGACTTAGCGAGTAAATACCATGGCCAACAAACAAACATTTTTACCTAATTGACCAAACACCACTTCGCGAGCTCCTTGCCGGAGCGTAAGACTCCGGCACGTGCGCAGCTGAAGAACACTTGAGGTCCGATTGCTTCGTTTTTCTAGAAAATCCATATCCTGAACGGAGGGTTTGGGACGGGAAAGAGAATGTCTTGAGGGATGAAGAAGGCGACGAGCTAGGGTTCGGGGAGGAGAGAGAAAGAGAGGATGAGTTGAAATTAAGAGAAGAGGAGAAGCATGGATGCGCCATGAGTGAGAAAGCCGGCGGTGGTGGCGGTGGTGGTCTGCGGAGGCTTATCTAGTTGATGGCAAGAGCACTGTACGACTGCAAAGTGTGTTCGGGTCACAGATATTTTTTGCCCGATGGAATTTGTATATTTCTAAAACATTTTTTAATTAATATTATTATATTTTAGTTAATACCTTGTAAAATCATCAACACCTTATAATAACACAAACTAATGAAATTGTGTCAACCACAAACTATAAAAGATTAACTTATAAGCTATTGGTGTTGTACAAAATATAACTTATAAGCCATCGTCAGATCTAGTGTTAGACTGACCTAATCTTATAAGCTATTGGTATTATACAAGATATAACTTATAAGACATCGTCCGATCTAGTGTTAGACTGACCTAATCATGAGACCGGCATACTATTTTTACACGTGTATATTTTTTTTGATACAAGAACCTTCCGATTTTCGGATCCACAGGGGAACCGACTAATCCGGAATCGAGCTGGGTAGGACCACAAGGGCGACAAAGCTCTCCCTCAAGAGTTTTTAACATTGATGCATTCCCAAGGCTCGAACACGAGACCACTGGTAACACAAGACCACTGGTTAAGCTGGAAGAGACTCACGTCATCTCATCCAAGCGCTCTTAAATTTACACGTGTATATTTTAATTAAAAATTGTCAAACTTCAATAAACATCATAAAAGGTATTAACATTTTTGTGCATCCAGTTTGGCGATTTGCCTGCGTAATGGTTAGGCTGCTCCAACACAACAATTTGTGACAAGCTATTAGTGTGTAACCACACAAGTTACAATAGAAGCTACCAAACCAAGTTTATTGAAATACAAAAAATTTATAAACTAACCTAAGCTATAAGCTACCAAACCAAGTTTATTGAAATACAAAAAATTTATAAACTAACCTAAGCTATAAGCTAGCTTATGATGCTACCAAGCACATTATTAGTCTCTACTAATTATCTATGCCTCAGCAAGACCCATTAGAACTAACATTTCTTTCCCAAAACTGGCTGTCTTTGACAAATACATCAGCTACTACAAGGGAAGATAAAACTTACAAACAAGTGATGATAAAGGTATCATGATTACAATCGACGCAAAGAGAGCTTCATACTAATATAAGTATTTGCAAAAAGGTCCTTCCCCGAATCGGGACTTTTATAATAAATCCTACTATCTTCTGCTTTGTAAGCAAAATCATATACAATCACTGCATAAATATGTAGGAACACTTTTCATTAACTGATATAAGCCACAATTTTTAGCATGCCCTCCCAGCATTAATCTTCTCGTTGATTGCCTTGTAACACTGAAGACTACAAAGAGGAAGCTTTAACCTAGAATCACGGTACTTATAATCATTGGTACAGAAGGGACCCACGCATTTTTCTCGTGGAGGAGGATAACTGAAAATTCAAGAATGAAACAGTAGATTAGAGTCCCAATCGATCAAGTAGGTAGAAATGTTTCACCATGCCAGGAAGAACAAATGCTTTGACGATGGTGTGTGTAAAGGAATCTTTTACACAGTCGAGGTTTTACAAATACTATCGCTGAGGTTTAATATAATTGCTAACAAACTCGTTTGTATTTTTTTAAAAAAATGCTGAATACACCCGTCAGCATCAGGTATTGCAAATTGCCCTTTGGAGTTTGTTTTTACTTTACGAATCCACTCGATACATGCAAATTGTTAGCTAAGTAAAAGGGGTGGAGTTCTGGTTTTCGAGCATAGCATTTTTAGTTACCCCACAAAACTATTCAAAAAGAAGAGAACAAAACAACTACCTGCAGGATATAGATTCAAAAATTTTAGGCAATCCCAACTCCTGTGGAAATGTGACAGTAGTCCCTGTAGGACCCATGACCGTTCTAATGGTGTTTGATGCAAGCATTAGTGCATGAGCAGCCTTTTCCTGTTTGTCAATAATTAATATTTCAATCAAAAAATAAAATTAAATATTGCAGTACGAAATTAATAATAGTAATAATATAAATAATTAAAAAACACGAAGCACGCCTTCTGGAAGCACATTTATACCTGTGCCAACTCTTCCTGACGCTTCTTCATCTTTTCTTCTCTCTTCTTCCTACTGGAATCTTGCCCGAGTATCTTTCTAATTGCCTCCGCCTATACAGTTTAAAATTGAACTGTTTATTCTCCATTTCAATGTAATCCTAAGAAGAAAAAATAAATGGTATTATATCATTTAAGTAAAATTCAAAACAAAAAATTTTGAGAACCTCTGATTCACGGGCTGCTTTCTCATTTTGCATTCTCCGCCTCTGAGCAGCCTCGGCTTTCTTAAGCTGTTGCTCCACTTCTGACAGTTTTTCCTTTTGCTCTGTATCATAATTTTTTTTTTTTTTTTGGGAATATAAGTTAAAACACATTAACTCTAAGAAGAGATCCAAAAATTCACAAGACAAAAAGGTTTTCCTACTAACTTCGAGGTGCGGCTGGTGGTAAGCCATTTGGAAACTCAATTTGACCAGATGCAGAGGCATCTTTGGTTAGAAGGGCTCTTTGACGAGTTGTAAGAGCAATTTCTCTCTTGTTTTCCATGTCCAACTCTGAAAGATCTTTTTTCAGTTTTTTCCTTCTCATTCCTTCACCATCAGAGGATGGTTCATCTTCTTCCTCCTCATAGTCAATGTCTCCAGTTCTGGGTTTCCTCCCGAGCCTCCCAACGTCTTCCCAATTGTCGTATTTACCCCCCTTGTGCATCTTTGAGGACTTAAGTTTCTCCAGGTACCGGATCTCATCATCCGCATCATCATCATCGTCAAAATCCGCATGGAGAACTCGCCTTTTAGGAACCCTTTTGCTCTTACGAACTGAATCAAACTTATCTCCTGGTTTCTCAATGGCATTCCCTATATTGAAATTACCTTTCGAGAAATCCTTCCACGGGATACCTTGCAGCCCTCTTTTCTTATCAGACGTTGGAGACTGGTAGTGAT